CCCCTCTGGGGGTCCTGTCCTTGCTAGCTTCTCCACTGTCTTACCGTGCCCGGCAGCCCCCTCTGGCACCCTGTCGGATCTCTACCTCCCCTCGTTCTCTACGAACTTGGTGAGTGGAGCGGACCTACAGGATAGGGGGGTTGACCAGTTCACTCCTGCGAGTCAGCGGGTGACCCACTGCACGTGTGCTCGGACAGGCCGACACTTGGCCATGTTCACCCGTCGGCAAGGGTCGAGCCTGTACACCCTTACTACTGAGTCTCCTCCGACTGCTGAGTCTGGCCAGGTAGCTGCATCGAGTCAGGTGTTTGCTGCAGAGTCCAGGTCTGGTCCTGAGTCTGCTCCCTGCTCGTGTCATCTCCGTTCCCACCAGACTCTCCTTTGGCACCACCGCCTTGGTCACCCCTCCCTGCCTCGTCTCCGAGGCATGGCCTCCCGTGTCCTTGTCTCTGGTCTCCCCCGGTCTCTCCCTCCCCTACCTCCGAGGCCTGGCCCTACCTGCGTCCCCTGTGTCGAGGGGCGACAGCGCGCCGCCCCTCACTCCTCCGAGTTTCCTCCGACAGAGGCTCCGCTGCAGACTCTCCACATGGACGTGTGGGGCCCCACCCGCGTCCGTGGACAGGGGCACGAGCGTTACTTCCTGTTGGTGGTTGACGACTACTCGCATTACACCACAGTCTTTCCCTTGCGCAGCAAGGGTGACGTCACTGAGGTGTTGATCGACTGGATCCGCGCAGCTCGTCTCCAGCTCAGAGAGAGTTTTGGCTCGGACTTTTCTGTTCTGCGTCTGCATTCTGACAGAGGTGGGGAGTTTTCCTCTGCCCATCTGGGAGCCTTCTGTCGTGCACAGGGCATCCGCCAGACCTTCACGTTTCCGGCCTCTCCACAGCTAAATGGGATTGCTGAGCGCCGCATTGGCATGGTGATGGACGTCGCTCGTACGTCCATGATGCATACGGCTGCCCCCCATTTTCTGTGGCCGTTTGCGGTTCAGTACGCCGCGCATCAGCTCAACCTTCAGCCCCGGGTCTCCTTGCAAGAGACCTCCCCCACCTTGCGGTGGACGGGGAAGGTTGGCGATGCGTCTGCGTTCCGGGTCTGGGGATCTCGGGCGTTTGTCCGCAACTTGTCTGCGGACAAGCTGTCCCCCCGTGCTGTTCCCTGCGTCTTCCTTGGCTTACCCCCTGATGCGCCTGGTTGGCAGTTTTACCACCCCACCTCGCGCCGTGTTCTGTCCTCCCAGGACGTCACGTTTGACGAGTCGGTACCTTACTACCGTCTCTTCCCCTACCGCACTGCGCCCCTCCCCCCGCCGCCGCTCTTCCTTGCGCCAGGTCCTCCCCCGGTAGACCCCCTCCCCCCTCAGGGTCCTGCCCCGTCAGGTGTGTCCCAGGTAGACGCAGTCGAGGCTGTCAAGGTAGCTGTTGACTCTGGTGCTGTTAGAGGTGCTGAGCCTGGGGGTGCTGAGCCTGGGGGTGCTGAGTCTGGGGGTGCGGAGCCTGGGGGAGCTGGGTCTGCTCGTGTGGCCGCCGGCGGTGCTTCGTCGAGGCGGGAGCCACTCTCTCCCCAGGAGCTGCGCGTGTGGTTTGCCAGGCGCTTGAGCCGTGCTGCAAGAGCTGGAGGTACTACTGTTGCTGCTGGTCCCGGAGGTGCTCGTACTGGCGGTACTGAGGCTGCTAGGACTGGGGGTGCTGCTGGGGCTGCTGGAGTTGGTGCTGCTGGAGCTGCTCGAGCTGGAGCTGCTGGGGGTGTTGGCGCTGGTTTTTCTGCTGGCGCTGGTGCGTCTGAGGGTGCTGGAGTTGGCGCTGTTGGAGCTGGAGGTGCTGCTGGCGCTGGTGCTACCGCTGGGGGTACTGGTGCTGTCCCTGCCGGTTCTAGTGGCACTGCGCGGCCGCGGCCGTACTTCGTTCCACTCCTTGAGCAGGTTCTTGGTCGCCCGCCCTCTACTAGTCCTGCTCCTCCCTTAGAGTGTCCGCAGCTTGTCCATTCGCAGTCACAGTTACAGCCCGCCTCCCCCCTACCTGCTCCTTCTCCCTACACTGGTCCTACTGGAGATATTGCTGAGCGTCGTGAGCCTGGGTCTCGTCCTGCGTCGCCTGTTCGTGCTGCTCGCACTAGTCGTCGTGCTTCGCGTCCGCGTCCTCCTGCGGTCCCAGGCACACACCAGATGGCACTGCGTCCTTCCACTGCTCCTCTGCGTGTCCCGTTGCCGTCTCCTCCAGAGTCCTCTCTTCCTCTTCTTGCTGACCCTGAGTCTGACTCTCTTCATGCTGCCAGTCCTACTGTCACGCGTCTCCTGGCCACTGTTGTCACTGACCCTTCCTTTGAGTCCACTGCTGCGTCTGCCCTAGTTGCTGAGCTTGTCGACTTCGCGGCTTGCTGTCGTCTAGACTACGCTGCCAGTCTTGTTGCTGAGTCTGAGTCTGTCTGTCCTCCGTCCATCGGGGGTAAGTGTGCTCATAGCATGGACGTCCTTGAGGACAGGCAGGAGGAGTTCCAGTGTTTTGCTACTGCTTTGCCTCATCTCGTGTCCCCGGTGATTGCCCCTAAGGGAGACCCGGATGCACCAGACATCCCGACTCCTCGATCGTACGCTGAGGCGATCAAGGGTCCCTACTCCTCTCAGTGGCAGTCAGCCATGGACGCAGAGATGGCTTCCTGGAAGTCCACAGGCACCTACGTCGACGAGGTTCCCCCACCTGGGGCGAACATCGTCAGTGGCATGTGGATTTTCAGGGTGAAGCGGCCGCCGGGTTCTCCGCCTGTCTTCAAGGCGCGTTACGTGGCTCGAGGCTTCAGTCAGCGGCAGGGAGTTGACTACTTTCAGACCTTCTCTCCCACCCCGAAGATGACCACTCTTTGGGTGCTGCTGCACATAGCCACTCAGCGCGACTACGAGCTTCACTCTCTTGACTTCAGCACAGCTTTCTTGCAGGGCAGCCTGCACGAGGAGATCTGGCTACGCCGCCCACCTGGCTTCACTGGGTCGTTTCCTCCTGGTACCCAGTGGAGCCTCCGGCGGCAAGTCTACGGTCTCCGCCAGGCGCCCCGTGAGTGGCACGACACACTGAGGACTACACTTGCGGCTCTTGGGTTTGCTCCTTCTACAACCGACCCGTCGCTGTTTCTGCACACCGACACCTCTTTGCCGCCGTTCTACATCCTCGTGTACGTCGACGACTTGGTCTTTGCCACTGCTGACACTACTGGACTCGCCCACGTGAAGTGCGAGCTGCAAAAGAGACACACGTGCACAGACCTGGGTGAACTCCGCAGCTACCTTGGCTTGCAGATCACCCGGGACAGAGCACAGCGCACCATTACCCTGACTCAGTCAGACATGGTGCAGCAGGTCCTTCAGCGCTTCGACGTCACGTACTCCTCGCCTCAAGCCACTCCTCTGTCTACTCGCCACTCGCTCTCAGCTCTGCCTTTGGATGAGTCGGTAGTGTCAGAACATTATAGCTTATGCTTTTGTGTAGGCTGTAGTGGGGTAGCCTATATGGGGTACAACCCAATTACGGTTAGTACTTGTACCCAACTCTTTCATAGTGCATTCATTCTCGTTCATTTTCACACGTAGAGCCGAGTGGCCCGTACCCAGAGCTTGTTGGCTGCCTCATGTACCTGATGACCTGCACACGACTTGACCTTGCATACCCTCTTAGCATCTTGGCACGCTATGTTGCTCCTGGCAGACACCGACCAGAGCACATGGCTGCAGCGAAGAGGGTGTTGCGCTAGTTGTGCAGTACGTCAGGCGTGGGGCTAGTGCTTGGAGGGCGACGTCGAGTGGTCCTCACAGGTCACGCTGACGTTTCTTGGGCTGACGACCAGGCTCTGCAGCGGTCGTCACAGAGTTACACCTTCAGCCTTGGCTCCGGCTCTGATTCGTGGCGGTCTACCCGCTCGTCTTCTGTTCTCAGCTCCAGCTGTGAGGCTGAGATCTACGCGGGGGCCATGGCTGCACAGGAGCTACGCTGGTTCCCCTACCTGCTGACTGACCTAGGAGAGTCGCCTCGTTCTCCTCCAGTTCTGTACGTAGACAACAAGGCCATGCTGGCCTTGTGTCGAGAGCACAGACTGGAGCACAGAAGGAAGCACATTGCTCTTCGCTACTTCCTTGCTCGTGAGCTGCAGCAGCGTGGCCAGTTGCGCCATGCTTACGTGGCCTCTGAGGCCAACTCTGGTGATATCTTTACCAAGGCACTTCCGCCTTGTGATCATCAGCGCTTCTGTACGATGCTAGGTCTTGTGCCTACTTGGCCTCACTTGCTCACTTCTTGACCTTGTTTGTACTGTGATCTTTCTATACCTGCACTTGCTTGTTTACCTTTATATATGATCTTGCATGTGAACTGGCCTTTTGGCCTTGCTCTTGTGCTCGGATTGTGTGGTGACGTTGTGATCCACCCTGAGCTTGCTTTGCTTTGCTTGAGTGGTCATGTGACCTCTTGTTCTCCCCCACTTTGCCTATGGGGGTGTGTCAAACTCATATTATATAGCTTGTGTAGGCTATAGTGGGGTAGACACTATGGGGTCCAGTTTCCTAGGGTTTCCTACTTGTACCCAACTTTGTGCTAGTTCATTCATTCCTCATTCTTCACAATGTGCTGCAGGAGTTCCAGAGGTGGTTGGTGCTGGTGGAACGGCAGACAAAGAAGTCGGTGCTGTTGCTCCGCTCAGACCGAGGAGGGGAGTTTCTTGGAAAGGACTACACTAGCTTCGTCGATGAGAAGGGCATCGTCCACGACTTGACGTGCCCCTACACTCCGCAGCAGAACGGCATGGCTGAGCAGGAGATGCACACGGTCGTCGAGTCCGTGCAGACGATGCTGCTGCACATGGGCGTGCAACACCACTGGTGGCACCTCGCTCTACGACAAGCTGTCTGGGTGCGCAACTGCTTGGAGCGGTCGACGACGCCGCCAGGGACGACGCCGTACCAGCTGCTCACCGAGAAGAAGCCCGACCTCACGTTGGCGCGGGTGTGGGGCTGCATGGTGCAGTTCATAATTCCCGAGCAGCAGCGTAGTGGGAAGCTGGCGTCGAAGGCTCTCTGGGGGCTCCTGGGTGTGTCGCTTGAGAGCAAGGGCTCGGAGGTGCTGGACTTGACCGACAACAATGCGGTCACGTCCGTCGAGGTGATTTTCTATGAGACGCTATTGCTGGAGGTGTGGAAGGCGTAGTATGGGCCGGCGTCGGGGCGAACGCAGGCACATCCGTCGACAGAGACCTCGATGGCGACGGTCCCACTGCTCACCAAAGTCGACGAGCCTGGTGATGAGGACATTGTGGAAGTTCTTCCACCTCCCCCTGTTCTTGCTCCCCCCTCCCCCCTCGCAGATCGGTCTGCGTCGACGCCTGTGTCGACCACCGGCGATGAGGAGAGCCTTGAAGCATCGCCTCGCTTGAGGAGGAGGAGGAGGAGGAGGAGGAGGAGGAGGAGGAGGAGGAGGAGGAGGAGGAGGAGGAGGAGGAGGAGGAGGAGGAGGAGGAGTGTTAACGGGAATGGAGTGCTGGCCCCGCCCTCGCTTTGGCAACGCCGACAACTCAGTCGGATGTACGAAAGTAGCAGCCGACCGTTTACAGTGGGAGCGCTGCTCGACAGGCTTCGTCGAGCTGCAGGGGACCTTTGTGGTGTTGGTGTCGACCAGGGAGCTCGACAGCTGCAATTGACTGGTCTGGGCGACGGGTGGGCCGTCAACCAGGAGCTGTTGTTCGACCGGGAGATCGACGGAGCAGACTGTTGACCTGCAGTTCGACCGGAAGGTCGACGGAGCAGTCCGTCGACCTAATAAGTGAGCATCGGTCAACAAGGGGAGCTCAGCGACAACAGCTGACAGTTCTGGTTGACAGAAGGGGTCCGCCGACCAGGGGGTAGCTTAATGGGAGTTGTGGTGAACCAAGGGCACTTGGTGGTCGACTAGAGGGAGCTGTGGTCGATCAGAGGAACCTGGTGGTCGACCAGGGGGAGTTGTGGTCGGCTAGAGGCACCTGGTGGTTGACCGAAGGCACTGGTGGTCGACCAGAGCACCTAGTGGTGTCCAGGTCGACCGGGTAGCCTGCTCGACGAATTCTGCGGTGGCACACAAACGTCATCGAGGTCGCGATGGCGAAGGCAACTTCGGGCTGGTATCTCGAAGTCGATGTGGCTCGTCAGGTGCTGACAACAGCCGACAGATGCACAACGATGCAACTCGGGCCAATCGTCTGCGCACACCTGCGAGCGTGCGCACTGCTGCCACCTACGGGTGCAATGCTGGACACCCGCACTGCTGCAGCATTGGCACGCCGTCGACCTGCTGTATTGGCAGGCCACCCTTCTGTAGTGTTGGCGCGGCTCCTCTACGCAACGCTGGCAGGCGGTCGACCAAGGTGTGCTGGCGGTCGACCAAGCTAGCTGCAGAGTTGCTAGGTGCCTGATGTAGTCATTGTTGATATTGCTTGTTCAATCATTCTGATATTCCAATTTTGCTACTGAAAATCTTGCCAGCTTCTCCCGTGAATGTGCAAGTGCTAAGGAACGCAAACAAGGCTACAATCACTCTTAGTAGTTCGTGCCTACCCCCCCCCGTAGTCTAGCTCACTACCTCTGTAGAGTGAATCTCTGCGAGGAGGAGGAGGACGACGACGACGACAACAACGACGACGATGATGACGAGGAGGAGGAGGAGGAGGAGGAGGAGGAGGAGGAGGAGGAGGAGGAGGAGGAGGAGGAGGAGGAGGAGGAGGAGGAGGAGGAGGAGGAGGAGGAGGAGAAGGAGGAGGAGGAGGAGGAGGAGGAGGAGGAGGAGGAGGAGGAGGAGGAGGAGGAGGAGGAGGAGGAGGAGGAGGAGGAGGATGACGGCGACGACGATGACGACGACGGCAATGACAACGAGGAGGAGGAGGAGGAGGTGGTGGAGGAGGAGAAGAATGAGAAGGATGGGGAGGAGATAGAATAGAAGATGGAGGGGAGGAAGGAGGAGAGGAAGTAGACAACAAAGCCCTTATTCTCATAGTTCCCATCTTAGCCAGTGCATGCACTGTCAAGGATAGAGCGTACAAAGTTCGAGCACACTATAAGTGCGTAAGACCAAGGCTTGAGCATGAGCAGACATGTTGTGTGTAAGTCAGTACTCTATTGTGATTATGATGACTATGTTTAATAGTATTGCTTGTAATTGGTTGGCAATGGAAGGATGTATATAGCATAGAGAAGCACAAATTTGGTGGTGTAAGCACCTAAGTATCTATTTGTCACTGTTGATAAATGCAACTATATGTGTGACTAAACGGTACACCCACCTCATCGCATTGACTCGGCAGTGTTGCTCACACCAAAACTCTAGACTGATATATAAACCATTTCAAGCCTATGGAAATGTACGCCTACGATACATTTCCAGCTATCGTCATAGGTGCCTTTCATACCCAATAGGCCCTTTTTGTTCTTAGTATCCCATAGTTTCTACCCCAACATAGCAACGCCCATTACCTCAGAGCAGACCCCCTAGTCTCTATGTTGATTTGTCACCGTCCTCTCTGTTTCCCCTGCTTGCTCATTGGCTGCATTGCGGGAGCAACCCGCTCACCCTGATCTGCCACATCTATCTGCCCTTTGTCAGCAGCACCGAGAGCATTATTGCTTCTCTCATGCCTTCGCTCACATCTTTTGTTTACGACGTCCGTGCTATCCTCATAAAAGCCACTCAGTATTTAGTTACCTATCAATCGTGAGTGAGGGACATGCCTAGTGGAAGAATGATAAAGTGTAACACACAGCACTGAGAATGGGCCAATATGGTGTTGAGAGCCTGTTCACAATTGATGTGTTGAATTGTCATTTGCATATTCTGCCTATGGCTACTAGTGGACTGTTTAGTCAAGCTATCATGGCTGGTGTTGTACCCTTTCTGTCAAAGGTCCACTGGTGATCCCCGATTGATCCTAGGAAAGGGTTACAGGCACGTCGGCCTTTGGGGGTTATGGGCGCACTCACCCACTGCAAATATAAGCCCTTTTTTCCCAGTGGTTAGTGGTTGGGATTCTGGCATGGTATCAGAATGAAAGTCTCGGGTTCGAATCCCGGTGTGTGCACTTCGGGCATCCCAGTGCGGGGGGTTGTCAAAGGTTCACTGGTGATCCCCGATTGATCCTAGGGAAGGGTTACGGGCACGTCGGCCTGGGGGGTTATGGGCGCACTCACCCGCTACACAAACAAGTTATTTTATCCCAGTGGTTAGTGGCTGGGATTCTGACACTTTCGTCTTTCTCCTTACCTATATCTTCCCTATAGTGAACCTCTCCATTCTCGTTCTCCTTTGCCAATGCTCTCGCCACTCTCCTTCCAAGCGTAACCTAATCTCTTAAGACTTCAAACACGAGGGTGGTGAAGATGGAGCACTGCTTGAGAGTGCACAACACAATATCACAACTCTGTTAAAAAACGTTGTTCAAGAAAATCGCAATGCACCATGTACAAACATTCTACACCAAGGCTTCACCATTCTTCACCCATGCACTGTCTTGAAGAGCATGGCTGTTAGGCCCTTCGGCCTAAATCCGCTAAAGATTAGCGGGGTCGACTAAGTCGAGGATGAAAACGCGGCGGGATACTTTGACGAAAGAACTATTGGCGAAATAGGCGAAGATGTTACTGAGTAATTGAAGAGTTGAATGAGAATTGGTTCATATGAGGGAATACAAGCAAGGTTTAAGTAGCATGCAAGAGCGATTGTTGAAAAGTACTTCGTGGGACTAGAAAGTAGAAGGCAAGAAAGCTAGAGTGCCACGTGGCACTAGGAAATCTTGGGAATCTTGGATGAGTTGGATGAAGATAAGGTTGGGATGAGGTTGGGGGACTGTTTAGGGTAAAATACCCTTGAACAGTAAAGTACCCCGTAACACTACCCCCCTCCGAAGGAGGCGACGTCCACGGCGCCTGCAGACTGAAGGTACGCTTGGAGACAAGCGTTATCGGGAGACAGCGAGGACGAAGGAACCCAGCTGTCGTCGGCTGCATCGTAACCACGCCAACGAACCATGAAGTCGATGAAAGAGACACCCCCCTGAAGACGGCGACGGTGCGTGAGGATGCGCTGGATCTGGTAGTCGGGTTCGTTGGTGTCAACAGCTACCCACAGTGGAGTGCGATCACGGCTCGAGAAGGTGGAGTTGGGATCAGTGTAAGGACGGAGGAGAGACACGTGAAATGACGGGTGCATGCGGAAATGATCGGGAAGGCGGAGGCGGTACACAACTGGACAAAGCGCACGCTCAATGACGAATGGACCAATGAAACGTGGACGAAGCTTGCTGTCCTGTGGCACTCGGAGGTTGCGGCTATCCAAGAGAACACGGTCGCCAACAAAAACGACACCTCACGACGACTGCGGTTGGTGGTGCGTGTCATGCGTGCATTTGCAAGCTCAAGGTGCTTCCTCACGTGATCATGGATGAAGGTGAGATGCTGGTGGAAGTTGTCCGCACGAAGGACTGTGGGTGTGAAATTGACACGAGTGGGGACATTGGGATGCTGACTGTACAGTGCGAAGAACGGGTGACATGCCTATGGCGGAATGGTGCGTGTTGTTGTAGGCGAACTCTGCCATGCTCAGCTTCTTGTCCCATGCAGCTCCGTCGTGCATCGTGATGCTGCGATGTCGGAAACTTTGTCTCTTGGCCGCTCCTCCTGCTCTGTCCCTCCCTTCTCTGTACCTCCCGTCTTCTTCCTCACCCCATCAAGTTCCTCAGCTCCCTCTTCATGCCTTGGCTTGATGCCCCTGCCTTTCCCACTTTGAGTATTCCTAGCACGTTGACTCTCTCCAGTCCTACCTAACTCGGCTGGCTGCCGGATGGCACTGAGTGAAAATCCTTAAAAGGCTTGCTGGGATTGGTTCCTCCACTTGGCGCAGTACGAGTAGTGTCTTAGGTAGCTCTTTGCTAATAGAGGAAACATACAAGCAAGCAATTGATGCTTCTCGTGTTGCTTGCCAAAGTACGTGCACTTGGTTACCGTTGCTCTGCAACGGTTGGTTTGGTTTCGCCAGTTCGGCTTAGTTGCCCGCTCTGGCGCTATTCGCCTCTGGCCTACCTCGCTTTTATCCTACTCAGTACAGTACCCTGTCATGCTTTTATATTGCTATGTCCTACGCACTATTCTTCAATTAAATGCATGACAGCTGTCGGAAACTTTGTCTCTTGGCCGCTCCTCCTGCTCTGTCCCTCCCTTCTCTGTACCTCCCGTCTTCTTCCTCACCCCATCAAGTTCCTCAGCTCCCTCTTCATGCCTTGGTTTGATGCCCCTGCCTTTCCCACTTGCCCCCTCCTCGGCGCTTGCTCTTGCTCTGGCATGTATCGCTGATGGACTACTTGGTTGAAAGGCTGCTCCGTTGCCTGCTCCCCCCTCTTTTCTGGGCCTGGGGGTACTCGCTGGGGCCGGGCCCTCGCCACATTCGTCCGATGGTCCCTCTTCTCTTGCCCCTTTTCTCCCACTAGCACCACTACTCCCGAATCCTTGACCTCTTTCACCTTCCACCTCTCAGTGCTGAGCCCGATATCTAGCATGTCTTGCCTGGCCTGCTTGACATATACCTCTTCCCCCACCCCCAGCTGTGCACCCTTCAGCTCAGCCTGTCCTTCTCTCCTTCGTTTGTAGCGCTGTGCATCTCTAAGCTGTGCCACTTGCAGGTTCTCTAACGCCGCTGGCAGCATCTCCCGCAGGTATCTTGCCCTTGCATCGGCCAGCCCCACCCAAGCGTCTTCCGAGCTCACCGTGACCACATCTGTCAGTACCCATGGCGCGTCTATGGGCAAGATAGGCTCTCTCCCCAGCAGCACGTAGTACGGCGAGAAGTCCTTTAACGCCGCTTGCTTACTGAAGCGGTAGCCTGCGACCACCCACGGGAGCCGCGCGTCCCAGTCCCTCTTGAATCGCTCCCCGTAAGCTCTCAACCCTCTCTTCACAGTCTACACAAATCTCTCAGTGAGCCCATCGCTCTGCGGGTGATACCGTGATGTCCGCCGGTGAGTAATACCGCTGGCTTTCATTAGCTTCTCGAATTCTCCCAAGAACTCCGTGCCCTGATCTGTCAATACTTCTCCACATGCCCCGAAGCGAGTCAACACTTGATCCTCAAATGCCTCAGCGATCCGGGCCGAGCTCTTGCTAGGCAGCGCCTTAACCTCCACCCACTTATTGCCGTGCTCGATCATGATGAGAATGAATCGCTTCCCCCTTCGACTAAGCGGCATTTCTCCAGCCAAGTCTAGTGACCGCCGGAACCCTAGGCCTCTGATAAGCAGCGAGTGCAGCTCTTCCCTCCCTCTCTCTAGCTCCGCTTTGTTCCTACTGCATAGCTCGCAGGAGCCCACCCACTCTTTGATGTCTCCTCTCATCCCGGCCCACCACCAGCCTGTCTCTATCAACTGGCTCGTCCGTAGGCTGCCGTAGTGCCCCAGCTGCCGATGCACCCTCGCGATTATCCCTTCCCGCTCCTCTCGCCTCGGGACCAACTTCCATCCTTCCTTAGTGTTTTTCTGAAGTTGGTCCTGGTACCACCGATAATGCAGTCCCCTGGCTCTGGCCCTCTCGCTCGCGGATTCTGCTTCCGAAGTCTTTCCTTGGATCCACCGCAAGGTCTCTTCATCTTCCCGAATGTCTTCCGCTCCCTTCTGAGCTTTCCGTTTGGCTCCTTCCCCGTCGATTTCTCTTGCCAATGCCACCAGACACGCCTCGGGGCTCGAGGGTGGCCGGTTGCGCGAGAGCCCGTCCACGTGCTGCAACGTCTTCCCAGCCCAGTGTCGTATAGTAAACTCATATTCCTGCAGCCCCAAGGCCCATCGGGCGTTCCGGCCTGTCAGGGCATGGTTGGTTATAAGCCAAGTCAGCGGCTGGTGATCCGTAACTAACACGAACGGCCTCCCTTGTAGATACACCCGGAAGTGGGTGATGGCCCATACT